AATTATGACAAATCATCATAATAATTCAAAATTCAAATTGCCTAGAAGGAACGTCATCTGATAATCCATCAAGTATCCTTGTTTGTCTTCCTAAAACCATAAACCATCTTTAGCTGTGGATAGTGCTGCATTTCCCCTACACATACAGAGACAGTATACAACTAAAGTTAGGGTTAGGGTAGGGAAGAAGCCGCAGCTGTGGCCAGGAGGGCCTTTGCACAGCTTCCTGTTGGTTACCAGTTGTTCCCTTTCCTGGACTACAAGGTTCTGCCCAAATAATTCATGCTTTAGTCACATCCTGAATGGACGACAGTGCACTCTACATCTGGCTGCCTTTAAAGAGCATCTACGGTAGAAGATATAGCTAGTATAGAATGGTGTGAACAGCTATGTGTACTCCTCAATCAGCACATGTTACTGCTCTGCAAGCTGCAAGTTTGAATCTGGGTTCAATCCATGATCCTGGCTGCAATTTTAAACCCTTCATGGCTTGGAACTGTGTATTTGAGGGACTGCCTCTTGCTGATTATGTCTATCTGTCCCATTAGAGACAGAAGAGGTATGCTCTGTGTTCCATTTGCCAAGGAATGCTACCTAGTGAGGCTGAGGAAAAATGTGGCCCTCACCCTTTGGAATATGATTCCCCCAGAGATCACATTGACCTCTTCCCTCTTGGCCTTACATAAGGTCTTAAAGTCTTGGTTATGTCACTAGGCCAGGGGTCAGGAAGTGGGGCTGTGCATGTCCATCAGTTACATTAATTTATTATTGTTTTATTCCTGGTTGCTGTTTTCACATGTATTGTTTTTTCTTTTCTTGTTTTTTATGTTTCTATATTTTCTTTCAACACTGTTATCATGAATTAGAAACCCTGGCCATATAAATTAAAATACATAAATCCAAATTTCGTAGAAATATCTGTCTATCTACCACCTATCCTGATTCCCCCCCCCCCCCCAAAAAAAGGGTGGGAAATGCAGGATTATTCTACGTTGTTCTCTCCAATAATATGAGATATAGTACTTAAGAATGAAACAAACATGTTTCCAGGTCTTAACTCACAGTAAAATAGACATTCAAGGAGAGCAAGAGGAATGGTCTACAGCTTCTCCCTGAATCTGTTTTTATTAGAATATATATAAAGAGTCGGTGTATAGTTTACTATTATTATATTTGCTTTTTACTTTCACATAAACTTGGTAGTCATATTTTATTTAAGGAAATAGCAACAACACTGTATATATTTATCTATAAGCCTGTCCTTGGATAAGCCAACTCTTGAATTTTTAATCAAAATATCATGAAAAATGCACCATCTGCGAGTAATCCAATCCTTGAAATTTTTGTATTTTTACTTTTCACAATTGGTTTATCCGTGGGTGGTGCATTTTTTATGATATTTTGAATAAAAATTTGAGGGTCTGCTTACCTGCAGAACGGCTTATATGGATATACCTGTACTTTAAAAATATATTATCATATATACTTGCATGTAAGCCCATGTATGGCTAAAACAAACCCAATTTTTCGGGCATACTTTGGCACCTAAAATTATAATCTTATCCAGGAATCTATGCTATTGTTAAATTCTATGGCCATTTGGATAGATAAAAAGCTTCAAACTATAATTATTTTTAAAAAACATTTCTGGATCATTGCAGACTTGTTGAAATATTTCCTTGGATAGTGTTATTAGAAATCAGCTCTTTTGGTATATTTTTCTATCTTGTGATAGAGTGCACAGTTGTGAGTGTCCAGCAACTGTCCTCCAGTCCTAAGAGGACTTGAAACATAGAAGAATTATTCTAGAGAAAATTGGAGACAGTGGAAGAGGAAGAGGGAGAAAGGGAGAGAAAAAGAGAAAGAAAAAGAAAAAGAGTAAAAATTGAAAGACAGCTTTACTGAAGTTTATGGTCAAAATATGGAATATTTTTGTGATACTATTTTTACTCTCATTGAATTATGGAACAACATCATTTGGATTTGCCTCTTATATTCTTATAATCTTGTACATATTGTGTTATACTTGGTGCTGCCCTTGAAGATTTCTCTCAAACTTCATTAGTTTGGGAGAAACATATTTCACTGTCCCTTAAACCAATAGCCAATAAGATGTTTTTCATTTCAGAGAAGTAGTGCTTACCTTTCAAAAATCTAAATGACTTGATATTTAGTAATCCAAAGGATGATCTTTTTTCACTGAATCCCATCCAAACTTTGTATTAATAATTTAAAGGGGGAAAAAAAATCTCCTTTCTATTTAGAGTTGGTACGTAAGATTATCCAACACTGGATGAATTCCAGCTTTGTATGTAGAAAGTCCCAATTTAAATCCCCATCCTCTCCAAGAAGGCTAGAAACATCCTCCTCATGACAATCTGGTGTGCAATCAGTGCCAACAATAAAGGCCAGGAAGGAAAAACTTCTTACATTATAGCTTTTTATATTACCATATCTGTGCTTACTTTGAAAGATATTAATAATTAAAGCAATTTTAATGTTTAAGAATTGAACAGTAGCTCTTAAACCTTGTAATATATTGAAGTATTCTTCTGAAGGAAGAGTATACTGGTAGTCCTTGACTTATGACTATTTGTTTAGCGAATGTTCAAATTTATGACGGCACTAAAGAAAAAGATCTATGACCCATGGCCAAAGTTATGGACATTGCAGTGTCTCTCTGGTCACAGGATCAAAGTTTTGGGCACCTGGCGGCCTGCCCACTTTTATGACTGCAGAAGCGCTGAACAGCCCCCACCTGCCCATCTCCTACCCACCCACCTGTGCACTTTTGGTCCCCTGCACAGGGGCAGGAACTAAAATAAATTGGCATTGCAACCAGAAGATAGAAACATTTTTTTGTTCATATTCTCCACCTAAATAAAATAAATTACTTATTTTGAAAATAATATGCAATTCTATTCCTGAGTAAATCAAATAGTAAATTAAATGTACTCTAAACAAAGCTAATGTTTCATAGCATGTGAATAATAACTCCATAGTTATTCATAAAATATTTTGTATTGTTGGTGAAATAACATGCAGAATCAGCCTTAAAAATAATAATGTATATTAAATATATTTGATAGCCTTTTATGTATTTTCCTCTATCTTCTAGTATCTGATAGTAAAAATTAAAATCACACAATGAAATTAATAGAAAGTTTCCTACTTCATTTTAACTTAAAGATAAGACTTAATAATATATGTTTAAAAAGGACTATTATTCAGAAATATTGTGGAATGAAAAATTATATATTTTGAACCAAATAATCTTGGATATCAAGCAGACGGAAGCATTGACAAATAATTGTATCATAAAAGTCTAATTACTATGCATTAAAATGATTCAGCTGTTGCATATCTATGTTTTGAAAACTTGCATCTTGTATTTTAAAGGAAATTATATGTATATAGAGGCAGAGGTTTATTCATTCGGAATATGGATGGTTCAGATGTCCACATCTTGCCCAATTTGATCTTGGTAGCCTTTTAAATTCTTGCCTCTGACATGTAATATATATTTCCATGACTGCCCCCAATTATGATAAAGGATTGGCTATTGTTTCCTCTGTTCCCATGGATTTTTTTTGGGGGGGAGGTAGATATCTACTCAGATGATTAAGGAAGGATGCAGGAAGGGTATGGTTACTGAGTGATTACTAAGTGCTTCAGGAAATATGAAGTTCAGGATTCAGAGAGCATATATAGAGAAGTAAGACTTTATTGTGGAATCATAGCTAATGGAAATAGATCATGAGTTCATATCTTAGATTTTTAAAAAATTGTTATACTGTAGTTTGTATATGAAATTAGACAGTAACAACAACAACAACAAAGAATTTTGGCCTATCCAGGAAACTTCCAATGTTTAATTTTGGAGTTAAAATTTGCACAACTCAACTCAACTTTTATTTGATTTTTATTATTTTTTCATGTGCATATATGCTGTGAAGAAACATAAGAAACCATGGTATCAGTATAATAATCAAGCATCTTATAAATGTGTTTTGCTAGTTGGGGCATATAATCATAAAGAAATAAATAACTAAACACATATCTCAAGTATGCTATTACTGCCTTTTCCAATGTGGATGGTATTTGGCATAATGCAAAATATATATGTATGTATATGTGTATGTATATGTATGTATGTATGTATGTATGTATGTGTGTATATATATATATATATATATATATATATATATATAATATATATATGCGATATTTTTGCAATCAGGGTTTTTTTCCTATGTTGAAAGATGTTAAAATGGCCATGGTGGGATGAAATCTCTATTCATCACTTTCAGACCTGTCAGACATTTTATGTTGTTTCTTCTGTGACTTATGGGGAGACTGGGATAGAGATTTCATCCCACCATGGCCATTTTAACATCTTTCAACATAGAAAAAACCCTGATTGCAAAAATATCGCACATTATACCTATGAATCAAAAGAAATAAATATTTGACCTCTACAGGGAGGAGTCACAAAATATGGGTGTGTCTGGCTGAAGAGGTCTAAAAAGGCCAAAATAGTGCTATCCCAGTCTCCCATAAGTCACAGAAGAAATGTGTGTGTGTGTAGGTTTTTGTTATTCGGGTTTTCTCCTGCGTAAAATTGGAAGTGTCTTGGCGACGTTTCGACGAAGTCTCATTCGTTATCTTCAGGGCTGTGTTTTCGGCTTCAAGCCGAAAACACCAGCCTGAAGATGAGACTTCATTGAAACGTCGCCAAGACACTTCCAATTTAACACGGGAGAAAACCCGAATAACCAAAGACCTACATAAAAATACCCATGAAAACCTCCAAAAACACACACACACACACACACACACACACACACACACACACACACACATATATGCATATATAAATTTTATTTTGCTCATTCCATGTTTTATCAGCATCAACCATCTTTATTTATTTTCTGAACTCTCCTTATAGATTACTTTTATTACTTTATTTTAAGAGTAATGTCAATTTCCTGAATTTATAGGTTGCAATAAAATCCATCCGTAAGGACAAAATTAAGGATGAACAAGATATGGTACACATCAGACGGGAGATTGAGATTATGTCATCTCTCAGCCATCCTCATATCATCACCATATATGAAGGTTAGTGACATCATTTATACCATTTAAGTTTTCTTAAAAGCAGTTTAAATACCAGCAGATTTTTCTACAATAACTACTTTTCCAATGTATTTCCTTGGATGACATGGTTAAGGTATGTTCATGAACGAAGCATCGCAGATATTTGATATAGAGGCACTTGTTAAAATATTTGTACCATTGGAGATTAGTTTCTCAAGGAACTTCAGGCCAAGAAACTACAACAAAATCTAGATGTCACTATGCATACTGTATATTCAAGTAGCAGTTTCCTTCCTCATTCAAGCTTCAAAAACGAATTCATCTCCAGTGTATCAAAACCATGTAACAATATTGTCACCACCATAGAAATCGTATAGAATCCAAACTTCCAGCCATTGTTTTTCTCAGGGGGTTCATTGATAGGTGTAGTATTGTGACTTTGCTTCATGCTGAATGAACTTGGATGGTTCTCAGAACTGAGAATCTGTGGAGCAAAGAATTTTGCAGACATAGGAAAAATAAATGAAGGCCAGAGACGAGGAAAGATTTTATTTAAGATTCTTTTAATCTGAGTCCAGTTTGGATCAAACTTTCAGCTGTTATGACAATAGTATAAACATTATCATCCCAGAGTAGGTGGTTAGAGCAAACCCATATGGACCTTCTAAATTGATCTTGCTTTTGCAGACATCTATTTAGCAGATGAGACTTAGAAAGTAGTGTCTTACAATAGTATATACTGTATTAATTGTCTCCAGATGCTTTGTTGAATTTTTTTTGTTTTCATATTTGCCTAGTAGTGTCCATTACTTTAGATAAAGCATTTATTAAAATGTGTTCTTTTGGCAAGCAATTTTTTCCTAAGCTGCCATCCATGTCATTTACACTTGTGCTATTATAAGGAACTATAAACTAATATAAAACATAAAACAACCTTTAAGTCCAACCTAGTTGCTTCCAGTTTATTTAATTTAAACCAGTGTAACCTGGGCAAAGATGCTGTAGGTGGTTGCTTCCTACATTTGTAACTGGCACATGTCTGATTAGACGACTTTGATGGGAATACCAAACTCTGATTCAATTTTTCACTTGCAAATTTTCAGTCATTTAATGATTTTTATTTTATTTTATTGACATGTGGTTGTGTCATTTAAATAAGCCATATATGCCATGGAGCCTACATTGGTAACGTGGCTTAAATATTTTGATGATCAGGCTGTAGTACAAATAAAGGAAGTCCATAAAGAGCTGGCTGTTTTTGGACTATAGTGGCTGGAGCCCCCTGTGTTGAATGTTAGATGAAAATGTTTGGAATATTTACGGTCTTGTTCTTTTTTTCTTTTTTCTGCTCTGATTTGAGTTTTTTGTTTCTTGTTCTGTATTATAAAGTTTAGGGTATTGTGAGCCATCCAAATTGTTTGGAGTTGAGTGTCACACAACTAAAACAAATAAATAGCTATTCATCTGATTCGTAGTTGCAAAGGCAGAAATTGAGTGTAATTATAAGTGTACATCTTACTTTCATATTCACAGATATTAAAGCAATTAAGGATAGAGGCATGTTCATGATTCACTAATTTGAAGAGTAGTTTTGAGTTCTTGATTTATATGGGGCTGTACGTCTAACTGATTTGTGAAGTAAGATGGTTAGAGAGTATTCCAGCGAAAATAGCATGCTGGATCCCCAAAGCTTAGTCTGCCAGGCTTCCCAGAGAAAAAGCTAACACAATCCTGGGTTGTATAAAGAGAGACATAGAATCAAGATCACGTGAAGTATTAGTACTGCTCAGGGGTGAAATCCGACCGGTTCGGATCAGATCAGGTGAACCGCTAGGGACGATTGGATTGAGTTTGCCGAACCGATAGCAATCACCCCTGTTTGGCCCCTCCCATGCCCGCCTGGTTGCCCGGTTGCCTGTTCACTGCTCACCTCTTCCGGCTCGCTCGTCCCTTTCGGCTCGCTCACCACTTCCGGCCACTCTGCGCTTCTGGCTGCTAGGCCCACCCACCCCCAATATAAGTTCCCTTCACCACGCGGCCCAGCTATCACCTTGCCAGTTGCCTCACCTGCTCAGCTCACCAAAGGTAAGCAATGCATGCTGCCCGCTCACCCTTTGCCTTGGGTCGGGGGCCAGGGCCCAGGGAAGCGCCATTCCTCAGGCCCCCGGAGCCACCACCTGCTCACCACCCGCCTCATCCGGGTTGGGGAATGCACCATTCCCTGGCTCTCTGGCCTTGCCCCGGAGCCGCCGCCCACTGCCTGCTCTCCCTTTGCTATGCGGCGTGTCCTTAGCTTTCTCCCACGGCTGGCTGCCAGGGAAGGCAAGCCAGGGCTGAGCCGTTGCTGCTGGGCTCCCCGCCAGCCCACATCTCACCCCCTTGTCTCGAGATTCCTGCAGCCATAGCCTCTTTATTTCTGTGCGCCTGGAGGTGCTTCTTGCGCTGAAAGATGCAGAGGCTGCAGGCTTCTTGCAAACAAAAGTTACCGCGGAGCTGTTTCTCTTCTTGAATGCGCAGCCACCATCGCCGCCCTGTTCCATGTGCTGGCCATGCATACGCACACTATTCATTCATCAGTGACAGGTTGGGTGTGCGCGGGCGTGGCCAGCCCATGGAACAGGGCGGTGATGGCGGTGGCACCTTCAAGATGGGGAACGGCTCCGCGGTAACTTTCGCTTGCAAGAAGTCTGCAGCCACTGCATCTTTCGATGCAAGAAGTGCCTCCAGGCTCACCGAAAAAAAAGAGGCTGCGGCTGCAGGCATCTTGTGACAAGAGAAAAGGAAGAATAGAACTTTTAAAAAAATTCCTACTGGGTTCTGTGGGTGTGGCTTGGTGGGAAGGGTCAATGTGATTGAGTGGGTATGGCTGTGAGTGACGTCGAGTTGGCCATGCCCACTCAGTCACAAGACACCTCCCCCACCAAGCCACGCCCACAGAACTGGTAGGGAAAAAAATTTAATTTCACCACTGATACCGCTTTATAAAACCGTAGTAAGACCACACCTGGAATACTGCAACCAATTTTGGTCACCATACTACAAAAAAGATGTTGAGACTTTGGAAAAAGTTCAGAGAAGAGCAACTAAGATGATCAAAGGCTTGGAGACTAAAATGTATGAAGAACAGCTGCAGGATTTGGGTTTGGCTAATCTGAAGAAAAGAAGAATTAGGGGTGACATGATAGCAGTATTCCAGTATTTGAGGAGCTGCCACAAAAGAGGGGGTCAAATTATTCTCCAAAGCACCAGAGGGCAGGACAAGAAACAAGGGTTGGAAACTAATCAAAGAGAGAAGCAACCTGAAACTAATGAGAAACTTCCTAACAGTGAGGTCAATTAACCAGTGGAACAGCTTGCCTTCAGAAATCATAGGGTGCTCCATCACTCAAGGTTTTTAAGAAGGGACTAGACAGTCACTTATCTGAAATGGTATAGGTTCTCCTGCTTGAGCAGGGGGCTGAACTAGAAGACCTCCAAGGTTCTGTTCTGTTCTGTTCCAAAAGATCACATACTGCATGGACTACAAGTTGTGGAAGCCATGGTTCATGGCCTTGCTCCTCTAGTACAGCATTTTCATTGCTGATTGCCAGTATAAGCAAATGCTGTTAATTATTGCAAAGACAAAATGGGATCTTTGAATGTAAAATAGAAGTATGGCATATCTTTTAGCCTGATTCCAAGCTGGGGAAGATTTTAACTTTCTTGTTCATCCAGAGTAGTACGAAGAGGAGAAAATTGGCATGTCTTGCAAATGCTTCCTTTTCTCACATTCTCATTGATCAACTATGGAAAAGAATTATAATTTTCAGTTAGGACCTCTTGCACAAAGACAGTTCATATTTCATTTTTGGCAGTGCAAGAACAGACAGCATTGCCTCAGGATTGCCCTTAATCCATAGGAAGAGCCTTGCTGGTACAGTGGTCTAAGCACCCTATTATTAACACAGCTGCCTGCAATTTACTGCTGGTTCGAATCTCTCCAAGGCTCAAGGTTGACTCAGCCTTTCATCCTTTCAAAGGTAGGTGAAATGAGGACCCAGTTTGTGGGGGCAATAAGCTGACTTTGTATAAATATACAAAAGTATGAAGGCTATTGCTTAACGCATTGTAAGTTGCCCTGAGTCTCCGGAGAAGGGCGGCATATAAATCAAATTAAAAAAAAAAAAAAAGACAACCTCCACCTGAGTTTTTGTCTATCTTTTAAGGTAGGCCAGGTCAGGAAATAGACATCACATGCACCATTGGAACTCTACTTTATTGTTATAGTTATAATGCATAATTTTGAAGGCTTGGTAAAGATTCTGTCTTACTTTTTTTACTAAGTAGAATCAAGACAAGGCAACCTTGATCCCTCCCCCTTTATCCCTCGTCTCTATCCTGTTTCCCCTAAAATAAGACATCCACTGATAATAAGCCCAATCGAGCTTTTGAGCTCATGTGCTAAAATAAGCCTCCCCTGAAAATAAGTCCTCCCTGAAAATAAGCCCTCCTCAAAAATATTTAAATGTATGCACAGCTGGTCCCCACCATTTCCTCTGGTTAGGTTTAGGGAGACAGAGCTGGAAATCAGGTAAAATGGCAAGAGGAGCCCCATCTTGCTCCACGTGCCCCAAAATAATAAAACCTCCCCGAAAATAAGGCCAAGCCTTATGTCGGGGTTCAAAAAAATATAAAACAGGGTCTTATTTTCGGGGAAACACAGTATTTGGCTATGCTGATATGTATAGTTCTTTAAATTTCTCCTTAATCCAATAGGGAATAGGGAAAAGAAAGCAGGTATATTTTGGAGATTCCATAGAGATGTTTCTTGTTATCTTATTCCCACAGAAAATTTTGGAAAGGAATTACCAGTATATTTTAATCTACTGTTAGAGCTTTAGTTGCTGACCTATTAATTGAATCAGTTAAAACTTATAGGATTAATGGAAGTCCAATTCCAATTGCTTGAATCACATACTGAAGTATTTTAAAGGGTTTTTGTTTGTTTGAAGAATAACTGACTTTTTTTAATTACGTAAAAT